CTTTTTGTCAGCTATCGTTTAAAAAAAGTAAATAATTCTAATTCTACTTTTTTCGACCATTTAAATCTCACAACTTTAATATTCAAATGTAGAATACCGGTATGAAGTAATCTAAAAAAAAAAAATAATTAAAAAACCTTCCTGTCAATGACGAGATTAAACGCAGTAAAACTAAAAAAAACAATTCTTAAACAATGAATTAGACAAAAAAAAAAATGTCTTTGCAGACAAAAGCTTTAAAAAATAAAATATATAGATCTATTCATATTTCTCGAATATTTGATATTATTTGGTCAAATTGTTTTTCAGTTCACACGATAAAATTTTCGTCAAATATCATTTTGAACGCACTATACTATAACTGATAACTATAGGTAAAATAAAATAATTCCCTTCAAATAAATTTCCGGATAAACGATATTTCTTCTACTTCTTCATTTAATTGTAATCACTGGGCTTCATATAGCCTAGTTCCTTTCTACACTTATGCAAAGACTTTCTCGGCCTAATGAATTTTAAAAAAACGAAAAAAAAAAAAAGCTTTGATTCCAGTTTGAAGAAACAAGTAATAATTACGCCGTATTCTTAAGAATCTGGGTAAAGTATAGAAAGAATACTAGTAACTATTTTACTCAATTTGCATTTGTAAAGACTACAAACTACAGACCCCCCCCCCTTCCCTATTTGGTGCATTTCGAAATAGAGAAAACGATTATTATTATTTTATTTTTTTGGTGGGAGCAGGGCAGGGACGTCATTTGGATAGGGTATGGGCAGTAGGGGGGAATTGCCACGCTCCCAACTCTCATGAATTTGCAAATTTATTTAAATTGCTATGTACTGTGCTGTGACGCCTCCAGTAATAAACAACACAAAAAGCCGGGAAAATGATTTTTCTGCCCCCCCCCCCTCCCCCCGGCCTTTGAAGAAAACCTGAAATGACGTTCATGGAGCAGGGGTACACTTGCATTATTTTGGTTGCGAACTAACTTGTAACTGCATGGCAATTTCCAAAAATATCGGTGTCTGTTAGGCAAAGCCGAGGCTATACATTATATAAAGAGAGATAATTTTAGACTAGAGCTGACGTTAAGTTTATTATTATCATTTATGTGTTTAAACTTTAAATTTTAAAACTTAGACTTAAGTCATTTGATTAAATATAATATTCAGAATCAAATTTCCTCTAAAATTTACACAGGGTCCAAGTTAAAGGCGTAATTTTTCACACAGCAATAATTAAGTTACTTATAATATAAGCTTATAATTCTACCACAAGAACATGTCACTCTTTTTCCCGCCACGAGTAAAGGCCTGGTTGATCTTCTGTGTGTCAAGTATATAAAGAGTTGTCGTTCACAAAATGTCCGTTTTCTCTGTTTTTTGATTGTTATACTACCAAAATAACTTGCTTTAAAATGGGGTTGTCAGAAGAGGGAGAGGAAAATGTGTTGCAGAGGTTCGATGAAGTTTGTTTGGATCTTAATATGGACACCTCTACAAAGGAAGAAGCTTGGCAGAATTATCAGAAGATTTTAACGAACTACAGCCTCGAGGTTTGCACCGCTGTCTTTTTTGTTATTGTCAGTCATATTTTCAGTGTATCAGGTCTTCAGCTCATGCGACTATGCCTTATTCTCAACTGAGTAGGACCTAAGATCTATGCTATTAGTAGTACTGTGGCACTGTAGCAGCAGTATAATAGAATAGGATCCACTGTAGGCATTGCCTAATTATATTAAACTGAAACAACTAGACTAAAAAGTTAAATAATTAAATTTGAAAGAAATGTTTAAATTAAAAGTTAAAAAAAGTTAAAGTATATAAAATATACTGGCAGGCCTAATTATAATTTATTCCCCATAGTTTCTAATTCTTTAATTTTTTAAACAGCCCCACTAGACTGAAATATGAAATATTTTTAAAAGAATGTAAATGTAATTTAATGTGCAGAAAATCAAAATCATAATCTATTATTAAGTCTATAATTTTTAGAATATAAGTTATTAAGTTATGATACTTTATCTTTATACTTTATTAACTTTTGTGGTGAGATAGATTTGGGATATTCATTACTATAACTATAGTATAGTACTATAGGCCTATAGATAGTATAGTAGCTACCAGTCCTCCTTGAAGTCCTTGCATTACACTTGAAGACTGGTCGCGGAAACGGTTTCAAATATTATCTTTTGACTTCATGGGTAAAGTATAGTTAGCAAAAATCATTTTGCCAAGAGTTTCTCTTACTCTAAGCCCAGTTGCGTCACTTAGACTTAGGGGAATCCCAACACTGGACTTAAGGTGCCTAGACCAAATAGCTGAAAATGAACGAAGTGAATGATAACTTTACTTCTCTTCATTGAGAATTATTGTTATCATAAGCTTAATATAAAAATCGATACAGTTAATATGAAATATATTACAATGAAAATTTCCATTTGTTTTTATTAAAATTAAGCTTACTAGGTTCAAAAGAAATTAATAAAAAGAAACTCGTCCTTGCTGATATCCCAAGATGAACACCAGAAAAAAATGTGCATTGTTAAAAGTGCTGTCTTTTGATTGGTTGCTGGTTGGATAAAGAAGTACCCATATGCTATTTATTTCTATCATGTTGCCATTTTACTGGACATTTCAACATAATTTTCTGGGAGGGGAGACTTTTTAAGGTTAAACTATGGAAATATGGCCCAGGGAACCTCCATTAGCTATATGCCATGAAAGATATCACTGGCGCTGCCACTAACAGCATTTTAACCACTTCATGCACCAAACTTGTTTAGGCTTTGACTGTAGGCGAGTCCTATGTAATTAAAATGCTGCATATGCCCAACAGATGGAGCCCGTTGCCCAAAGTGATAGTCTGAACTATAAAGCGTGATAGCTCATGCCCCTCTTAGAATATGGATGCTAAACAACAGTAGGGCCTAGAAGTAGGCCTATACTGCCTATGGCATCTCCCAATGTTCCAACCATTCGCAGCCGGTTCAGGAAGTCCCCTAAACGCCTAAACACTCTAAACTTGTGCACATTGGTAGGCTTAAGGGGCTCCACCACAGAAATGGAGTCTATAAATGTGCTTTGCAATTCACAAAGGTTGGGAAACACAGAAATAGATAAAAATTTGTCTCACCAATAAAACCCAGTAGGCCTAAATTTTTTTAATTCTTTGATTTTGATATAAAGCAAAATTGGTATCAATAGAAATCTAATGAGTTCACTTGAGATTTACTGCAAGTAAAAGTTTAATTGATATAATTATGTTACAACTTAAAATGTGCATAAATAGGCTATGTTTAAGATGGATTACTTCAGATTACCCTTTTTGTTATAGATTAATTATATTTTTCTTTTCAGTAGGCTTAATTACCACTTATAACTAAATGTGTAGGTTCATCTGCCAATAAAACAAAGCTTCTTTGCCCCATGACTAGATTTTGTTTTTGATCTATAATAATCATTAAAAATTAAAAGATTGCATGCCACATGGTGGCAACCCTAAAACTCAAATATAGAGGCCAACACCCTGAATTAAAAATCCAGCACGGAACATTATTTAAACAAAATTTTAAAACTTTGTACAAATGCCAAAATATCATAAAATAGACCTGTTTACTCTTACGATTTTGGCGTACAATGTACGATTTGTAGATGTCTTTTACTATTGCATGCCGAGACCCGCCAAGACTAAGATTTTCAGAGACCCAGTAAAAAAATATTCAGGTAAATTTTTCAGATATAAGGATCTGGCAGTGACTGGACCGAGAAAAATGATTGATTGTAATTTTTTTTAAAGTTGGGACCATTATGCATTTTGTTTTGCACGCACTGATCGGGGAGGTGGGGGTTGTTGAGATTTATGTCGTATTAGACACATGGGTAGGGGGATTGGTAAGAGTGTCAAAGGCTATAAAAATATCACTGCAATGAATCGTATTGATTGTGATGATTGTCATATTATTGCTCTGTGTGTCACAGTGAACTAACTATCTGTGTCAACAGTAATATTTAGACAAGTCACCCTACCCAAAGGTTCCCTCACCATCCCCTTGACTGCTACCAAGTGTGTGGCGTAGTTTTGTTACATAATTATTTTGTTCGTCTGAACCGCGGCGATTGTGAAAATGGAGCAAACTATAGATGGTTTTTTAAAAAAAAGAATGCGTTATCCAACTGTTCTGCACTGGAATGGTGGATTTGGACATATTTTATAAGATCTAGTCAGCGGCATTTAAAAAAAAAAAAATTTTAGAACTCGCAAAGCAGCTCTATCCCCTCAACGATTTTAATACAACTGTTTGGTATCACTACCCGGTACTCTTAATTTACACCCCCCCCCCCCCTTTTTTTAAAAAAAAAAAACAGCTTGCGGTAGTTATTAGACTAAAATATGTCAACTGGAAAAATAATCTGACGCCTATTGAATAGGTGATGGTACATTTTTTCCCATTAATGAGGGTGGGGGGAGGTTGGTTCTGTCGAGCGAAATAATTACGTCACCAGCACGTAAAGACGTATTAGCGGACTAAAGTGTGTTTTCACTATGTAAAGTTAAATATTACTACTAAACAAATTATCTGATAAATAATTCAGTTACCAGAATAACTATAAGTTGCTGGTAGGGGTCATAAAATAAAACAATGAGTAAGTATTAAATTTTTGGAACTGATATTGGTTAGCCATAAAAATGATATAGGCATCTCTAATGTATGTATGTTAAAATATTGCTTTAAAAATATTGTTCAAATATGATAATTTTATATATTAAACTTGTTTTCATTTATCATTTTCTAAAGGGAGATCAGATGCACTGGTTAGCTTGTGCTCTATATGAGGCATGCAGACGCTCTTCCGTACCCACTGTGGGCAAAGGAACAATGGAAGGCAACTGTGTATCCCTCACAAGACTACTTAGATCATCAAAATTCAGGTAATAATATGATTTTATGTACAAATTTATGCACACAACTTGACACAACTGACTGCTAAGACTTGTGTAGCAGGGTAGGTAGTATGATATGTGAACAATAATATACAAATTTTAAAAAAAAAATCCATTCCATGTACAATTTTCATATAAATAAATGCAGCCTCAGCACACAAACAGTTAATACTCCACACTTTCAAGACTGAATATGGTGAGATAATTTATTTTAAAATAATACTAATTCTCACTTCATAAATGATCTATGAATAACTATCGTATAAACTTGTTCATAAGCTGACCCCTAAGTTTTGACATGGAAAAGCTTACATAGTGTGTCATAAGTTGACCCCATAAAATAATATACACGGTGACCATTCTGAACATTTCCTAAAATAGATGCCTGCGGCTTGGAAAGAAATGTGTTATCAATGTCGCCTTGTCATGCACAGATGTATATTCTGCTTTAAATATAAACTTAACAAGTTTCCGTAAATGTAGATTTCATAATACTGGTATTAAAATATAGGTCAGAATTTGTTACCAAACCATGACCCTAAAGATATTTTTCAACTGCTACTACCATCTTTTAAAATATGGCAATCTGGCCTTGTGTGGAGCGGTAGGGAATGCATCGTAAGAATGAGATATGAAGGCCATCTAGAATTTTGTACACTGCCAACTTTGCACTTGGCTTTATGTTGACTTCCGTTTATTACTATTTTCTTCTATAATAGAATCAATGTACCTGGAGACAATTATGAAAATCTCCCATGACTCGCTCATAAGCCGACCATTCCACTTATTCCTCTGAAATATCTCCAAAAAAGTCAGCTTATGAACTAGTATATACATAATTCTCACCTCATCTGAGGCACCCTTTTTATCATTACTGATCTATTTATTCATCATTTTTGTTTACTTAAAAAAAGTCTCTCAACTCTGTAACCAGTCACCATATTCACCTACCATTGACATGTGACATTATTGTTGACCTATCGTCCTGAAACATAGATGTATTCACAGCCTCATCCAGTTCTTCAACAAAATGAGGAAATGGTCAGACATGGCCAGCCTGCCCAAGATTTTTCGAGATAAAATTGACAAGCTGGAGCGTAACTTTGCAGTGTCAACTGTGATATTTAAAAAGTTTGAACCTATTTTCCTGGATATCTTTATCAACCCGTCACATGAGCTGCCCCGCCAACAGAGAGGAAGAAAACAGAGGTAGAAAGGAGCCTTGGTTTAAGAGTTTGAGAAAAAATGTGAAGGAGTTTTTTGTTGCTTGTGTTTCATGTCTTTCTCTATAGTATTAGAGTCTGATCTGATCACAAAGATTAAGTTAAATCTCAGTGCTTTTGAGTCCGTTTGGTCAAATTTAAATGAGAATTTTAGAATGTCATGGAAAGATTTTTTAAAGAAGTTTTATTAGTTGGAATTGTCTAAATAATCACAATTGCGAACTTCCATAGCAAATTGCATCTTAACCAAGAAAACTACTCACTTCGTTATACTTGAAGATAATTAATCCTTGTACTTATATTATTAAAATTTTATTGTGGTCATTATGAATAAATTATAAGACTTCATTTAATTTACAATTTAAGCATGTGTGAATAATTCATGCTTTGCATGATTTAGTATAATCATCTGCAGAATTAATGAATAGTGGCTGAATTATATATTTAAGAAACAACACATATAATCAAATACATTGATCTTCTTTTTAGGTAATTGGCTGCTTTTGGTTTTGAAAGTTTATTGTAGAACACTTGTAAGATTAGATGTCCCAAATTTTTTAGGTTATCCTTTGACCTTTTGAACCTTACCCCGAGGCTAATAATAATTCCATTTCCACTCATCTTCATCCCACCATCAGAGCAATACATGACAAAAGGAGAAAATGGACAAAAAAGGGATTGCAGCTCATAGAAGGGTACAATGAAGATTATATTTTGGTGTAGTATAATAAAATGCCATCTGTCCTTGTCTCTAATTGTAATGTTTTAAGTTTTGGCCCGCTTTGAGCCCCCGATGAAAGGTGTTGCATGTTTTGACTAACTTGTTGATAATAATCAGTTAAATTTAAACAACCTACTTTGGTCTGCATGTTTGTGTATTAAACCATCATTTTTACAAATACAATTTTTAATTAACCTATGTATGTTAACAAAGTTTTTGTTTCTATGATGTAAGTGTAACATTTAAATTCTTTATATATATAAATAGTCAAAATATTTGATGACAATACAATATGCAATAATGGCAACTGAAGTGTTGTAATTAAGTTATAATTTATAACTTTTTTGGTGCAAAATTATTCAAATAGAGAATTTTACAAAAGTCTACTTTAGTTTGGAAAACTTAGAAACATATCGTAATAATATAGTGTTTTTGAAAGCCATAAATTGCAGTAAATTTTCATTATTCAGAAGCAAACTTGGCAAAATCACTATCCAATGAGCTTATGCATAAAAAAAATCATGGCATGATCAACAAATCCATTAATTGTTGTAAATAGATGCACATTTTTTCTGATGTCAGGTGTGTTTTTTTGTGTGGTAACTTGGGGAAAGGTGTTGTTTAGAATGAGACAAAACAGTTTCCTCTTCTGCATACAGTCGGTTGAGATGTTAATATACATTTTTCTTCTCAGTACACTTCTCTGAGTGCATCCTATGCTTAGCTTACTTCATGATTCAGTGTATTAAAATAAAAACTTTATTCTTTAAAAATAACTTACTTCCTTACAGTGTGTATAAATAATAGCTTACTTCCTTACATGGAATATTTGAATAAAATCTGACACACACACACACTCCATCCCCCAACAGAGCATTTAAATAATTGCTGGATCATTAAATGCGTTTAGACTGTCCCAAATGTAATTTGTGTGTTTTCTCTTCTTTGTTTTGTTACCAACAGGAGATTTCCATGCACATCCAAGGAAGTATTTAATTTCACTTGGACATTGTTTGTACAAGTTAAAGGTAATGATTTGAATCTGCAGTTTTTAGAATGGATTATGTGGAATCAATTGCATGAGTGAAAAAACGAGTTTCAGTTATTAATTGTCATTTCTAAAACATTTTGTTCAAACCCATTAGATTTTATTAATTTTCTTGACAAAGTCTTTATAAAAGCAGGGAAGAATTACTACTTGTTGGTTATATGTCGGTTACAGGCAATTTCCCAGCTATTAGTGATGATCTAGTGAACTCTTACCACTTATTGTTGTGTTGTGTGGACTGGATTTTCGCCAATGCTGTTTTGGGAGGAAGAAAAGATCTTCTGAACAGAGACTTTGAAGGTGCTTGGTTGTTGTTTTTTTCTGTTATAATTGTGCTTAAGATTTAGAAGATTTGTTAGTTTGTTAAGTCATCTGTATTTTAAAACAAAGTTAAAATTGGATGGTGTGTGTCTTTCTTCAGGAAGTGTCTCTAGAACTGTTAATATAAAACTGTCTCTAGAGATTTTAATTATGGAACAGCAACTTGCTTGACTATGTTGGTAAACAGCATTGGGAATATTTATTAAAAACAGTTGTATTTTAATGGGTTCCTAAATTTGAACAATTATTTCAAGGTTTACCAGATGACTTCAACAGTGTCAACTGGAAGCCATGCACAGAGATGCCTTGTATCATGCAGCTCTTGTGTGAGAAACATGATGGACTGGTGGTGGAGGCCAAGACCATAAAAGAGCATTGGTGGAAGCCACACATCAAAAGATTATTTGAGAAAAAGGTTGGTCCAAGTTCACTGTTTGTTATTGCTGTCATTCAGTCTACCATACTAACTTTGGTGTTATGTTTAATAGTTTTATTACAAAATTTAATGTTTTATCAAAATAACATTGAAGAAGTTACTTTTTAACCCCTATACATAGTTTATTAATGATCCCAAATTTATAATGGGTTTTTGGTACTTTAATGAAATCCACAGGCATTCTGTTAAACACAGAACATAAAAGATGATTTACACCATGAATTAAGTATATATGTGTGTTTATTGCTAAATGTAAACCTTATTAATATATGTATTAAGGAAATACAAGAACAACGTTTGTAAACATGTTACTGTTATTTGCTATTTCTTTCTATTTTAGAGAAAAATGTTGTAAACCTGCAAATACAATTGGCTGCTCCATATCTAAGTTTGATTTGGTCTACAATTGGTGTGCAAGTGTAATTATCATGTTACATTCTTCCATAACAGATTTTAGGGAAAACATTTTAAAAAAATATAACTTGATTAGCTAGATATAAATATTTGATTGTCTTATTCCAATAGATTCTTGATGGGAAATCTGCCAACCTATCAGCAATATTAGAACTTGGCCACTTTGAGGAGAATGTGTGAGTCCTGTCTCATTCTGAAGTTTAATCAGGTTTAATGCACTGTCCTTGACATGTGACGTTCCATTTAAAATCTATCTTGTGAATGATAATGTCACATGCTCAAACATTTTTTCTACTATGGAAACCACATCAAATTTTGTATTATCTTTATGACATGGTAATATTACTAGTTTAGAAAACCCTCTAATCTTCAAATGCGATTGAAGCTTTAAAAAATACAATTTGCACTTAATCTAATGATGCCTTAACTTTTAAAAAATACCATTAACTATTATTATGATAACAATTTATGTGGTATGAGTAATACTACTTGATTTTAGTGTTTGTGCTTTTGATATCTGTTCCTTGGTGGTCAATTATTTTTTTGTCCCCACACTGTCACAAGTACACAGTAAACAATGAACTTTTCCAGCAGATGATTTATTGTGTGTTACTCTCAACAGTGTCACACAGACAATAGTAATTTTATTTTTATTATTGCTACAAAAATCAGTCAGTTATTATTTTTTTTTAAATCCCCATACAGCAGTACCAAAGCACTCCTCAAAATCTTTATTAAAAAAAACTAACCACAGCTAAACTTTAACCTTCCTCTCCCTTTCCAAAGCCATAGGTCGACCCACTAACAAAAGCTCTGCCCACCCCATCAATAATTAAAAATAAACCTCACAAGATCATTCTCACCACATCTGATAACAACCATCATGGTCTTACACATAAGCTACTAACGCAGAGGATACATTTGACCCATTCACAGTCCAGTAAAAATTGTGTGACTAATCTGTGCAAGTAACAAACTTTGATGTATCTTACACAACAGACTAAATACAAAACTTCATGCAACTTGCTTACAATTTTTTCCAATGTTTTGTTGGGAACCTAAAAAATGTAAAATAATGCATAATAATTAATGCTGACCCTTTTCAGGAAAATCATAAATAATCTGTATGAAGAATATGTCCTAAGTGTGGGGGACTTTGATGAAAGAATATTTCTGGGAGATGATGCCAATGAGGAGATAGGGACACCAGGTGGACAGAACACATCAGATCTGACAGAACAAATGCAGGCCAAACGAACATTAAGACAGCATGTCGATGAGGTATTGATGCCAGAATGTCATGTTGTCGTATCAACATAACTAGTTTTATTGTTTCTATCTATATTGCTAATATTTATATTGCTTTTTTAAAAATAAAGTAACTTAATTTATTCTATAAAATTTCATTGGCAAAATGATTATATTTAACTGATAATAAAAAAAATCATAAATTGAAGTTTGAATCATTCATTTTACCTCAAAGTACGCCACTTAAAACTTTTTAACAATTTCACAGACCAAATCTCTCACACCATCCACACCTCTAACTGGGCGGCGGTATTTAAAAGAGAAAGACCTGAGTGTGACGCCTGTCTCTACAGCCACACAAAGTGTGTCTCGGTTGCAGTCTCTACTGTCAGGTTCAAAGACCTCACCTTCTGAAGCACTGCTTGAGATCTTTAAGTATGTCAGTTATTACTGTTAATGCCAGGATTCTATAGGCTTGTAACTTGTTAAGTGGTTGGGAAAATGCGCCAGCCTTAGGGCAAAATTGAAAGCTCCAGCAGAGTTCTATGCTGGGATTGGATCCAAAATTAGATTTTTGCCCCCCAAAATCTTTCAATTGCTGAATGTCCTATTATTCCTGTGGCTTTTTTTTTTGCCTTACAGTGTTAAATTTAAAGGAATAATTACGAGTGGATGAATTATGTGGGAAACTATATTAGTAAATGAAATGAAACGGTTAGAATTTATGCACCTAAAATACACAAGTTGTATTCTCTATTTTATTTTGATTGCCAGACATTGCAGTAGAAATCCATCTGAAGAAATTTCTCACAGGGTAAAAGAAATGGGGGAGACTTTCTGCAAACACTATGCTAAAGTAAGTTGAGCCGACTTGCTAAAGTAAATTGAGCCTTTATTTTAAAGTAAGTTGAGCCTTTATTTTAAAGTAAGCTGAGCCTTCATTTTTAAGGTGTTGAGTTTTGCCTTTTTTTTTTTTAAAATAAATAATTGTTCTATATCAGTTGGGTCCACTATTGATGTTTGTTGTGTGAACTTATTCCTTTGAATGTAATTAACTGGAGTCAACTTGTTTCAGTCCTCTGAAAGTCATCCAGGTGCAACCGTTGATTTTGCCCGCAAACGTCTCCAACTTGGAGAGAGTCTGTACTACAAGACTCTAGAGGGCATTGTTCAAGGGGAGAGAAAGAGACTCACGGGGGGCGAACCAAAAGATGTCAATTTGATGGTAAGTAAATATAAATAAATGTGTTTTTACTTATTGTAATTTTTTAAAATTTATTTATTTTTTCTTTTAAAACTTAAAAATGTTTTACCTAATTTTCTTGTCATTTTAATTTTCAGGGTCTGCTTGAAAATGAATTCTTTCATCGGTCACTGCTCGCATGTTGTTTGGAAATTGTCATCTTTTCCTACAACTCTCAGAGGTAAATATCCATTTCTAGTTCCACTCCAGACAACTTTATGCTTGTTAAAATAGGATGTTACAAGCAACCTAAGAAAACGAACTAACATTTATCTGTTTCAATCTTTTGGATGGCTATCAGTAGTTTTCAGCGATGCAAACAAAATAGCATTTTGTGAAAAATAAATTTTTAAAGCACCAAATTGTGTTTAGCATGTTGAGTATTATTTTGTAAATTGAAGGTTTCTCTGTGACCTTAACTAGCCAATCATCCTGTTACTAAGTTAGTTGATTATAAAATTGTTGGACTGGGATAAAGCTTTAAAGCAGATGAATTAGACACAATTTGTGTATATAAAAAAAATATTTTTAAAAATATTTAAAAAAACATTCATCAATGTGTAAATTTAATTTATACTTATGTGAAAGTTTTTTGTGTTGTTTTTCTTTTGGTACTGATGAAAGCATTTGCTGAAACGCCTCCATTGGAATTCTGTATAATCGTTATTAAAGCTGAATATATATTGTTCTTTTTACACAAATATTTCGTGTCTAATTCCTGTTACTAAGTTACTTGACTTGGTCTTGTACAATTTTTTATCGCTTTCTCTGATCACAATGCAACCTCCTTGACTTTGTTTTGATCATTATAACTGACACATTCAATCATTTACCTTTGCCCCTAGGACTTTTCCCTGGATTGTGGACATTTTTGAACTTGGTCCGTATCACTTTTACAAAGTTATTGAGATCATTATCCGGGCGGAGAAAGGGCTGTCTCGGGATGTGGTCAAGCATCTGAACCATGTAAGTCTAGATATCCCCATGTTGTTGTCATGGACTTCTTGGCATGTATTTCGCCCTTAGCGTGTGAAGTTGAGCAAGGCTATATTGGACATTGAGTACTGAGATGGCTTGAAAGCTTGCCAAGCAGGACTCATGTGTTGTAGGATCCTAGTGGTTATAGGAGTCAAATCTGCTTTTTCTTGCTGTGAGTTTTTTGCCTTTAAGTGGTGCGATTACTTTTTGAAGAGCGTGCTCCAACAGTGAGTCTGGCTCGCCAGCTTGTGTGACCCAAAACATGTTTTTCCCACGAGTTCATAGAGGCCATACTGTAGTTTCAGATGTCATACTTATGTGACATATGTCATATTGTGGTGTCAGATGTCATACTGGAGTGTCAAACTGTGGTGTCAAATGTCTTTAAAAAAAATTGTCATATTTGAAGTTATAGAGGTCTAAATGTAGTGTCAGATTTCTTACTGGAGATTCAGATACTGTATAATGGTGTCATGTCTAACTGTGGTGTTTTAGAGGTCTAAATGTGATGTCAAGTTATAGAACACTGTGGTCAGATGATCTAGGAAATCCTTAGCAAAGAGGATTCCTATGATGATTCTCCCAATGAGGCCATTGGCCCACCAGCACATTTAGGGTCACCATTGAACCCATGAATGGTAAGAAGGGGGGATGCCACTAAAATCCAGTTATGGGTAATTTATTTTGCATTCCACTCCATCTCCCTAAGAAAGTATTAAAATAATTGATCATCCCCGAGCACCGTGCTGTTTGTATCTAGTGTACCGCTTGTTGGCTCACCTCTTCGGAGGTGAGACTGGTTGTAAAACGGTAAAATCATTGGGTCCTGTATAGCTCTGGGCTCGGATCACCCTCTTCTTTTTGAAGATAAGATTACATATGTTATGGAAAGAGTGCTTAAATATTTTACTGATTTCTCATATCTTGCAGTTGTAAATAATGAGACATTCACCTCAAATCATTGCTTACGGAACAGGCTAAAACATAGATTCTTAGAATGTTAAATCTTTTTTAACACTAAGCTTGTTTAGATAAATTTTTGTTTTATAATAATGTTCACTTTTATCTTCTGCTTTTAGATTGAAGAAAGTATACTTGAGAGTTATGCCTGGAAAAGTGACTCTCCTGTCTGGGATGCAATAAAAGAAAACTTGATTGTGCCCAGTTGTGAGGATGTAAGTCCACAGATTTTTTTAGTAACTGCAGTGTTCAGTTTTTAATGGTATGGGGCAAGAGGTCATGTTTTTAAACAAAATTATATACGGTAAAAGTCCATTTCACAATAGATATATATTGTACGTGTCAAACTCCGATATTTGATTGGTTTAATTCATCAGATTCTTTTACACATTCGATAGCACAGAAATGAACACAAGTCCTTTTCCATTAGTATTGAAACTTTAATCTATAAATATAACTAACAGGCTTTTTATTTAATCAAACACATGTTTAATGCAGCCAGCTATAAGAAAGAGAGAATAACATAAAAGACAGACTACATAAAAGTACGTCACCAAGTGAATGGTGGGATAAGCATTCATTAGATACTAACTCTTAAAACACACTGGGAACAGTAAAACACAATATCCGGTGCGCAACAATAATTAATGAATACCCATATTCGACAATAGGGGTCAGAGGTTCTTCTGGTTCCGGTAGAATATGTTGCTGAATCAATGTACTGGTGTATGTGCAATGGTTGGGGATGCGATGCTGGTATTTTAATGGCTCTAATATCTGACTTCTTTTAACAATACAGCTTATAAAAAACCCCCATTAAAACTCAAATCTTTCATTCCTAATTGTTTTACCAATTTAATATTATCTCTGTTAATGACATTGAACAAAGTTTTCTCATTTCCTCATCAGGTTACTCCTGGCAATTTAATGGAAGGGACCAAACAAGTTTGTTCAGCTAACCCAGTTGCTAAACATCCCCGTCTTCGTTCCCTGGTGGGAGATATTAAATACCTTCAAAAATGTAACTAATTTAAGATGACCCTAAGAGCTTCAAAAAAAAAAAAATTAAATCAGACAAGTTTTAGATTTTGGTTTAATACGTAGCCCAGTGAAATGAATAATACTGCATTGCATTTATGGAATATATGCTCAGCTATAAAATATTTCAGGAATTACATTAAGAAAACTGATCACTCCAATCTAATTTTCAGTTTCATTACATACAAATTTTAGGTTTGTGTGATACGTTTCTGAGCTACATTATAAGCCCAGAGAAAAAAAAATTCTTAAAAGATATCGTGACTTTCAGCATATCTCAAAAATTTAATGGATGCAAAACAGGGGTTTGTTACCTTTATTCTTTAAAGAATTAAATATTTAAAAATTTAATTTTTTTGTTACTCTACAACCAGATTCTGACCCATTGCAATCCCCCATGGCACCAAACGCATCTGACAGATTTAACTCACCCTCCCCTGGAAATGCAAAGCGCCGACTATTTGAGTCGGCGGCCACCACTGCCGCCACCTCAGGCTCAACTGTTTCCACGCTCACGTTAACTTCTCTGTCCCGGAGTCAAGGCGTGACCATCATCTCCTCCCCAAACCAGCTCCCGACAGCAACAACACACAGCACAGCCACCCGTTCCATACTGCTGGGCCAGTTGAAAGGAGGAATATCGGATACCATTGTGGTATCAAACAAGGTCAGAACAAAAGTCATGAATTTTTTATTACGTAGGTTTCCGCTGCCTCCTGAAATTCCAGGAGCTCCTGGAAATCTCTTGGAATTTGAAAAAAATTGATGAAATCCTGGAAAACTCCTTAAATTTTAAAATTCTCCTTAAATGTCCTGAAATTTTTGTTTCCACAGAGGGAGGTGTAAAAAAAAAAATCTCGGTCGCAATAGTTATTTTATTTATTTGTTTCTATTCAATTCGTAGTCTATTTTTAGCCCTTCCATTAACAAAACGAGTTTGCCATAATAATGCTAGTGGTGTCCCCTAACTGCGTAGGCGCTTTACGAGTTTTGAATATGAAATGTCGTACCGTACTGCGTTGATAGACCAGAATTTTTTTTGTTCAGTTCCCTTCGTCGTTCAATGGAATTTTCGGGGTAAGTATACTAATAGCGTAAAATACATTAGATAGATTTTTAAATTTAGTTTTTTAATAGTGAGGTAACTATTATGATTAGAAAACAAGCCCAATCGCTTTATAAATTGACTAAGCTTAGCCTAATTTATTTTAAAGTTGATTTTTAATAGGTAGTCCATGGTGGAGAAAAGAAAGCCTTTTCGTTTTAGGGTCATTTTTCGAAGTTTTAAAAAAAAAAAAAATTAACCCACTTAAAGTAGTGTTAAAGAAATAAATTTTATACATGAATAAAGTTTATGCCTTTATCTGGGGAATTATCGTACTTTTATGTCTTAAACATGTGTTTGAAAAGTATCAGTTTTGACAAATTTTGCGGTGTTGTCAGTTTTGCGAGTGCCGGTTTACCCCAGCGTTTCAAGCGCTCGCCGCTATTTAAGTTATCGGATTAATTCTACCACCATAAGATAGAGAAGATGCTGTTCTTTTGTTTGATGAATATAAAGTATATATATCATGCTAATTTTATTTTGAAAAAGCTGGTTGAAAACTTTTGTACAAGAAAAATGGGTGATAAATGCCTCTCTTAGTTTCTCTTCTGCCTGTATTATTAGTTAAGTAACCGTATAATATGTCTATATTATTATTATTATTATTATGTTAACTCTATTGTAGACCTAATACTAATACTACTATGATAATTTATTAATTTTATTTTGTTTCACTTTTCAGGGTCTAGGGTAAATAAATAATACCCAACAGTTCCTTTGAAGACTTATGGTTAAGATAGCAATCCTTATTGAAAAAGCCATCACTGCTACTATATAATAGAACTTGAATCTGAACTGAGTCAATCCCAAGCTAGTGGACTGGAGTTCAATCCCCAGAAAAGGCCTAGACAAGCAAAAACATCACCGGCATGCCGGGTAGATGGGATGCATTAACCTTGGATAGCAACTCATCTTAGAGAAGGCAAACTCTGAAATCAAACGCGGACATGGAGTCCTGTAGGCATTATGGCATTGACACAATGAAAATTCTGACAAACTCCTATGACGTAGAGCGCATAAAGAGCATAGTGAAACACACACACTGCTGGTCATCTACTGCATCCTGGTCTATTTCCAGTCGTCAGGACTGTCTTTCCATAGGATCACATAGGCAAGGATGAGAAAGTGGTTCTGACAAATCGAGCAACTCTCCCTCACTTTAAACAAAATACAGCTCACACCAAGGCTACTGCGTAAGTCTTAGTGATCTTCATGTGTACAGGAAGAACAACGATACTGGAAATATTGATATAAAGTATATTTGCAGGACAGTTCTCGGATGCCATGAAAATTGAGGGAAAATGATTAATAATCTTAAATCATCTGAGACTTCCTCTAGTTCAACTTCTTAATCAAGCTACCAATTTATGTGTATCTTCGGAAATAAATATGACTTACTTGTGATTGAAATGGATTATTTTATAAGTTTATTAGTTGTTTGTTGTCAAACATCAAGTACATCTTAACAGAAACAAGTTACTCAACTGTATGAACTAGGGACCAGAGTATCTATATCGGTACATCCTTAAATCAAATAATGGCTATAGCATGAGCAGTCCTTAGAGTAAGTACCCTACCATATAAGGGCATTTATGTCCACTTACTACAAACAAAAATTGTATAAACGTATAGAGTCTTTTTTTTTTATATATATTTAAAAATGTCCTGGAATTTTGTATTTTCTCCTGGAAAAGTCCTGGAATTTTTTTGTTTAGATTTGGTACAAGAACCCTGAAAATTTTCCTGGTGGCAGTAACATTGAGTCTGAAACATTCAGCGCAGTTCAATGACCTCATGCAACTATGTGGTTTCAAGCAGTCAACTTTCGATTAAGAACACATTTTTTAATTAAAAACTACTGAATCGGCATCAAACACCTAATTGAGAGAAAAAATATTACTGGCCTGATCAGATCATTCCATTAATCACTAAGTTAATGTTCATGAGGTTTTTCATACCTAATTTTAATCTCATTACTTTGAGTGAATCCAAATTCCCAAAAGTTTGTGTTAGGATTAGAACACAGTGAATGGAATGAACATAGTTTACCTCTTGCGACAGGACATAGAAAATTATTTGCTAAACTGGTCGTACCCCATACCTATTGCCAGATAATTATTTGCTAAACTGGTCGTATCCCTTAAGTATTGCCCCGTTTTAATGTTCTTTGAAATGTAGTGTTGTATTACACTGTTTCAATTTTCTTAGAAATGTAGTGTTATATTGCATTCTTTCAGTGTTCTTAGAAATGTAGTGTTGTATTGCTATTGCACTGTTTCAGTGTTCTTAGAAATGTAGTGTTTTATTACATTGTTTCAGTGTTCTTAGAAATGTAGTGTTGTATTACACTGCTTTAGTTTTCTTAGAAATGTAGTTTTGTATTGCACTCCTTCAGTATTCTTGGAAACGTAATGTTGTGTTGCACTGTTTCAGTGTTCTCGGACATGTAGTGTTGTATTGCACTCCTTCAGTATTCTTGGAAATGTAGTGTTGTATAACATTGTTTCAGTGTTCTTGGAAATGTAGTGTTATATAACATTGTTTCAGTGTTCTTGGAAATGTAGTGTTACATGTTTGGACTTGATGATAAAGAGAAGTGGTGAGTTATATTTTTTGCAACTGAACCTTGATGCAGCGACATTATCTTTACAACTTTTGGTATTCCAATCTGCAGGTAGCATCAGCCTTGGCCCCCACATTAACCTTGCCCAGGTCAGACTCCCCTCCGCCACTCATCACCACAACCTCAGTGCTGGGCTCACCGGTCGCAGGGGGTCACGCCATTGTAGCCGCCGCAGCAGGGAGTGGCAGTGTCCTAACCACCCCTATGACCAAGCAGCCCGGTGGCCCCACACAACAAGCCATTGTGGCTATGATGGAAGATGGCCGACAGGTACTGATGTTCTCATACAAATGTATTAATTGGTAACATGAGTGACAGATTTAACATCAAATGGCTTGGCGATTTCCATGGTCATTAGTATTTATTACCTCAGATGATTCTGATTTGTAGTTTCTTTATCAGGAAATGGAAATTTAATATAGTAAATGAATCCCTTGTGATGCAGAGATTTTCTATTCTAATTTCATAATTAAATTTTTACATCATAATGCCATCTTTAATTTAAACCATGAGGTATAAAATGACAAAACTGAGATAGTTTTTAACAATTAACCCTTCTTTTTTTTTATCTAATAAGTCTACTTATCTGTGTTTTTCTTGACCACCCCTAAACATAACATAATAAAATGTGTGCTAACATGCAGAAATCAATACAAGTTGATGATCGTGGTCATGACCTCAATGTCGATTTATACAAATTAACTTCTGGAGGATGGATTTATGACATTTCAGAAATGGATGATAGATTTAGATACCAGGTACTGATTTCAAGTTGCTGGGTCAAAAATGTAGACAACTCTTGGCACAATTTCTTCATTTATGTTTGCCCCCCCAGATTTTAATTCCCGTACAGATTGCTCAGCCATCAGCATCAACTTCCACAGCAACCTCCAACACAGTTGCTAACACAACAGCAGCTGGATCTACTAACACAACAACTAGCACCATAACTATACGAAAAAAATCAGGGGAGGTAAAGAAACTCTTTGGAAAAAAATCTTTTTAAAAAATGTGCATACAAATCTGTATTTAATTAATTGTTAAAGAAATCTGTAATAAAAAAAATGTAATTTATATTTATAATAATTTTTTATTTCAAAATGAGCTTTTAAAACCAGTTCTTTTAAAACAAAGTTCTTATCAGACATTTTTATTTTTCTCATAGTGTCTAGCAAAATTGTTCAAGTGCAATCCAATTTTAATTGACCTATTTATAAAGTGTTATAAGGAGAATCACTCCCATCTGGTGCTTGTTAAATAACTAATTGTTTTTTTACCCATAACTTTCTTAAGCTCCTATGATTGTTGTGCTCACAAATGAGTGTCAGCCACGAAACATGAATTTAACTGGTACAATGATGGCTCTGCTTTTGTTCTCTCCCTCCCCTTTCAGGCCCTGTATGTCAAGGTTGAGAAAGCAGAGCCTGATCACAGCTACAACAAACCCAAGAAGACCGGATCGCTGGCTCTCTTTTTCAGAAAGGTTGTTTATTTTTATACCTCACATTTCAGTACAACTTATTAAGCCACTACAGCAGATCTAACCAAAACAAAATGTGTCCATTATATATAGAAAGACTTAGCTAAAAATGTGAATGACAGGTTATGGCCCACAAGTGGAAATCACATTCAATGTAGTTGCACAAAAAGTGAGTATCAATATAAAAAATATACAACTGTGCAACTAACTATATTTCTTTTTAAAGTAAGGAAATACTGTAAAGTTTGATCTTATAAATGTTACAAAATTTAACAGTTGAAACATGAATGTGTTCAATATGTGATCAAAAGAGGAGAGGGGCCATGCAGCATCCAAGTATTGGATAAATTTGACATTTGTGAGACAGAGCCTTAGGGACATGCTAGTTAGAAGCCACCTCCCCGCTATCAAAGCACATAAAAGCACCAAAAGTTGCAACCGTAGCCATTGCAACACATGTCCCTATCTGATTGAACTTGAACTTTGTTCAAATCACTTCCTTTCCACTTTTCTTTTCTTTGTTTCTGCCTGTTTTTTTCGCCCAGTTCTATTTTTTCTCCCCTTTTTTAGGTAGGATACCTGTGTGTATATATATATATATATATTATGTAAATTTAATTTATACTTATTTAATTGTCTTTTTGTTGTACTGATGAAGGCATGTGCCGAAACACGAAACATATACTTTTGTATTCTGTAAAATTATTATTAACACTTACCTAATATTGTTATTATTGACACAATTTGTTGGTGTCTAATTAATCTATTTTAAAGCTTTATCGCAGTCCAACACTTTTTATAATTAGTTGTATGGAGTAGGACACCAGGAAGGAGAAATCTTACCAGCTGGAATCCATCATGTAAATCCCCTTGACTTTTGTTTTGTACAGGTCTATCACCTTGCCAGTGTAAGGATAAGGGACTTGTTCGATAAACTAGACATTGAAGATGATGACTTGCTCAAGAAGATCTGGACCTGCTTTGAATATGCCCTTGTTAACCATGTCCACTTGATGTGTGACAGACACCTGGACCAACTGATCATGTGCTCCATGTACCTGATAGCCAAGGTGACGGAGAAGCCCCTAACATTTCAGAACATCATGAAGTGCTACAGGCTGCAGCCCCAGGCACACAGTCATGTAAGTATTTATACTCTGCACAACCAGGTTACATACTCTTACACTACAGGCTCCAAGCCATGTAATTAGTAATATTTGCATTTAAATTATGACCGTGACAGGCGCGCACACATCCCCAACCCCCACACACACAGAAACACACTTCTATTTAAAAAATTTAATGCATCTAGTTTTATAACTGTGTACCTTCACCACTGTTTTGATGCAGGTGTATCGAAGTGTCCTGCTTTCGTTAAGGCATCGTCATGGCTCAGGTAGCAGTGACAGCAGCAAAAGTAATGGGGGGAGCGGGAGCTCATCACCTGTCAATGTTGAAATCAAGTCTGAAAGTAAAGGAAAGGAGAAGAGTAAGTTTGATACCTGTTAACTTTTCTTTCTGGAAATAATTATTTAAAATTCCTTGTAAATGTTTCTATCTGAAATTAAGAAACATAAAACGCTGTTATAAGAGAAGATGAGCACTTCAATAATATAATGCTGCTGTTAGGTGTCATACATACATTAATTTTAATACATGTTTAGGTTAAATAAATAAATACTAATCTATGTTATGCAGCATAGTTTTTAAATAATAATGTTATTATAATACCCCAGTGCACTGTAAATATATAATGATCTGTGGAACACAAAAATTGTTTGTACATTGCAGAACAAGTGACCGTTCGTTCCTCCAGTACCTTGCCTCATTCCCACCCCAGCAGCCATCCACCCACCCCCACCAGGTTTGTGGGGGGTGGGGTTGATGACTTGGAAGATGAGAGAGGCGACCTCATCCAGTTTTATAATCTTGTGAGTTGAATTGGAGGCACATGAATCCCTTGAGTGCATAATGATATATCAAGAACCAATGCTCCCTTTATAATATCATGAATCAATCCTTCCTGGAGTGCATATTGATATATCATGAACCAATGCTCCCTGGAGTGCATATTGATATATTATGAACCAATGCTCCCTTTATAATATCATGAATCAATCCTTCCTGGAGTGCATATTGATATATCATGAACCAATGTTCCCTTGAGTGCATATTGATATATTATGAACCAATGCTCCCTTTATAATATCATGAATCAATCCTTCCTGGAGTGCATATTGATATATCATGAACCAATGTTCCCTTGAGTGCATATTGATATATTATGAACCAATGCTCCCTTTATAATATCATGAATCAATCCTTCCTGGACTGCATATTGATATATCATGAACCAATGTTCCCTTTATAATTTGAATCAATCCTTCCTGGAGTGCATATTGATATATCATGAACCAATGTTCCCTTTATAATTTGAATCAATCCTTCCTGGAGTGCATATTGATATATCATGAACCAATGTTCCCTTTATAATATCATGAATCAATCCTTCCTGGAGTGCATATTGATATATCATGAACCAATGTTCCCTTTATAATATCATGAATCAATCCTTCCTGGAGTGCATATTGATATATCATGAACCAATGTTCCCTTTATAATATCATGAATCAATCCTTCCTGGAGTGCATATTGATATATCATGAACCAATGTTCCCTTGAGTGCATAATAATATATCATGAACCAATGCTCCCTGGAGTGCATATTGATATATCATGAACCAATGCTCCCTTTAATATATCAAGAATCAATGCTTCCTTGAGTGCATAATGATATATCATGAACCAATGCTCCCTGCAGTGCATATTGATAAATCATGAACCATTGCTCCCTGGAGTGCATATTGATATATCATGAACCAATGCTGCCTGGAGTGCATAATGATATATCATGAACCATTGCTCCCTTGAGTGCATAATGATATATCATGAACCAATGCTTCCTGGAGTGCATAATGATATATCATGAACCAATGCTCCCTGGAGTGCATAATGATATATCATGAACCATTGCTCCCTGGAGTGCATAATGATATATCATGAACCATTGCTCCCTGGAGTGCATAATGATATATCATGAACCAATGCTCCCTGGAGTGCATAATGAAATATCATGAACCATTGCTCCCTTGAGTGCATAATGATATATCATGAACCAATGCTCCCTTGAGTGCATAATGATATATCATGAACCAATGCTCCCTGGAGTGCATAATGATATATCATGAACCATTGTTCCCTGGAGTGCATAATGATATATCATGAACCAATGTTCCCTGGAGTGCATAATGATATATCATGAACCATTGCTCCCTGGAGTGCATAATGATATATCATGAACCAATGCTCCCTGGAGTGCATAATGATATATCATGAACAATTGCTCCCTGGAGTGCATAATGATATATCATGAACCAATGCTCCCTGGAGTGCATAATGATATATCATGAACCAATGCTCCCTGGAGTGCATAATGATATATCATGAACCAATGCTCCCTGGAGTGCATAATGATATATCATGAACCAATGCTCCCTGGAGTGCATAATGATATATCATGAACCAATGCTCCCTGGAGTGCATAATGATATATCATGAACCAATGCTCCCTGGAGTGCATAATGATATATCATGAACCAATGCTCTCTGGAGTGCATAATGATATATCATGAACCAATGCTCCCTGGAGTGCATAATGATATATCATGAACCAATGCTCCCTTAAATTTATCATTAATCAATGTCCCTTCTTACATATGAACCCCTACCTCTGTCCCTCTTATGAATGGGCAGCAAAGTTCCCTTTAAAAGTCACTAATGTTCCTTCTTATGAATGAGCACCAAGGTTACCTGTAACAGTCACTAATGTTCTTTCTTATGAATGGGCAACAAAAATGCCTCTTATATTATATATCAAGCATCAAAGTTCCCTTTGTTCCTTCTTATGAACTAGAATAAATGACCCGATGTTATCGGGTAATAATGGTAGGTCCATTGCGATAATTTCCACCTGCTATGCAAGCACTCATCACAATGCCTAACTTTAAAAATAAGTATCTATTTAATGATATTTAGTAACATGATTAAGTTTTGAGAAGTATTTATCTACCATATATTTATACGCCTACCCTACTCCCTTTCACGCCCCTAAACTACATTTTCCCCTCTAAACATGACCTTAAATTACCCAATATCAATTATCACTAATTATATCACTTTTGTCACTGAAGAAGTTAATTGAGGGATGAAGCTAGAGAAATACTTTACATTTACCCTTTTTCGTGCCCTTGAATTACAACTTTTTTTTCTCTAAAAATTGTTAAAAAAAACAATCTTAAATTTACAATAAAAACTCTATATATATGATATAAATATATTTTATATTAAAGTAATTTGATATATTGATATCTTCATCAAAAATTTAACACACTTTTTGCCTTGTTTCTTTTTAAAGTATGCATGATCAGAAAATCGTGAAACAAAGAATTTTTTATCTAAAGAAGAATCTCGCAACCGTTTTTCACGTCTGTAACAGACTTGTGTCTTTTTTTTTTTAAATTGTTAATCTCATAAAAATAAACACCCAGTTAATCTGATTAAACACCCACTTAACTTTTCGCCAAAAAAAAAATAAAAATATATATATATATATTTTCATTTTTTTGAAAGAAAATATTAACCCATCTCCATTTTTTCAAAATTAAATGTTCTATTGTGTTAAATTATTGGGTTTTGATATTCATGGGTATACTTATATAAATGTAAACAAATCCAAAAGGTGTCATGGCGACACCCACGTTCCCGCCACTGGCACCAGCTATACCTCGTCCTTACTAGGCGCTTGGAGCTATCCAGTGTACTTCACACCCGCAGCTACCATAGTACAGACTGTGACACAGATCATTCTCTCGTAGCAAGCAAGATACGACTAATGACCAAAAATTGCATAATGCTAAAAAGAAGTGTCGTCCACGAATTAACATCCACTGCTCAAACAACCCAGAAAAAATGCAGCAATTCATAAAAGTGTTGCAGGATACCCTTGCTAAAGGATCACACGATGGTACTATTGACTCTAAGTGGACTCATTTACGAGATGCTGAGTACGATTCAGCCATGTCCGCCTATGGTAAAATGGAGCATAAAAATAATGACTGGTACGCAGCGCATTGAAATGTGATTTAACCCGTAATGGAGAGGAAGAGAAGAGCCCTATTTGCCTACCGGGAAACACCTTGTGCTCGTACACTACAGGCTTTCCGAACCGCAAAAAATTTATCACAGCAGACTGCCCGCCACTGTGCCAACACTTACTGGCTGGACCTTAGCAACTTTATACAATCAGCTTCCGACAAAGGAGATGCAAGGAGCATGTTCGAGGGCATCAAGAGAGCATTAGGTCCACATACTTCAAAAATATCACCACTAAAGTCCAAGACGGGTCAAATTATCCATAATACAAATTATCAACTCTGGCGTTGGGTAGAGCATTATCTGGAATTATATTCAACAATGAATGTAGTCACTGAGACCGCTCTGCATAATATTCCCGCATTGTCAGTAATGGATGATCTAGATGAAGAGCCAACTTTACAGGAGCTCGAAAAAGCCATTGATTACCTTGCTGATGGGAAAGCACCAGGGATTGACGGCATCCCAGCGGAAGTCCTCAAAAATGGAAATCCTATTTTACTTCAGTCCTTACATGAGCTCCTCTGTCTGTGTTGGGAAACAGGTCACATTACCCAGGACATGAGAGACGCCAACATCGAAACATTGTATAAAAATAAAGCGGACCATAGTTACCGAGGTATTTCTCTCCTTGGCTTAGTTGGAAAGACTTTTGCCCGTGTTGCCCTTAAACGATTGCAGAGTCTGGCTAACCACATCTACCCAGAGTCCCAGTGTGGCCTCCGGAGTGGGCGCTCAACAATAGGCATGATATTCTTGTTACGCCAAATGCAGGAGAAATGTCGTGAACAGCATATGCCTCTTTATATTGCCTTCATAGACTTGACAAAGGCATTTGACTTGGTAAGTCAGAGAGGCCTTTTTGGTATCTTGCAAAGAATAGGTTGTCCCCCACGACTGCTCACAATCATACAGTCATTTCATAAAAGCATGCACAGCACAGTTACTTTCAATGGGGTCATATTGAGGGTCATAATCTTTCGGTTGTTGATCATTTCACATACCTGGGATCCAATATTTCTAGTTCTCTCTCCGTTGATGAAGAGATAAATATCAGGATCACAAAAGCAGCAGCAACTATTGCTAAACTGAATAAGCGGGTGTGGAATAATCTCAATCTAACTGATAAAACAAAAATAAGTATCTATCAGGCATGTGTGCTTAGTACGCTCCTATATGGTAGGGAAGTGTGGACGACGTATACCAGTCAAGGGCAGAAACTCAACAGCTTCCATAAAAAATGTCTGCGTCACATTTTACGCATTCGTTAGCAAGACAAGGTGTCTAACGCGGAGGTCTTGGAAGTGCACACATATTTAGCATATTCTCCTTTCTTATCAAGAGACGCCTTCCCTGGTTAGGTCATGTACGGAGAATGGAGGAAGGATGTATCCCAAAGATTCTGCTGTATGGAGAGTTGGCAGAAGGGTCAAGACATATTGGACGGCAACGCCTGAGATTTATGGACATATGCAAAGGGAGCGTGAGGGAAGCCAATATTGAAAACAACAAATGGGAGAACATTGCCGAACAACGTTCCATCTGGCGAACTGCAGTGTATGAAGGCGTAAAAAAGGCACATACGCGAAACGAGGCCCTTGCAAGAAAAAGAACAATACGAAAGTTAAAATCTTTCCAGGAATCAATATTCTCCTGCAAGAGATGGGGTCGAGATTGTCATTCCAGAATTGGCCTAGTTAGCCACTTGTCAAAGTGTAGGACTACACTACAGAGCTACTCCATCGTCTAACGTAGACGGAATGATGCCATATATATACTTATATAAATGTACCCATGTTTTGTTAACGCCATTGATTTTCTTAATTGGTAAACTTATGTTTATTTTTAAAAAGAAAATGTAACATCTCTTTTTTCACAAATGTAATACCATAGGATTTAAATATATATTGTCATCCACGTAAAAATGTACACATCCTATTTCCTACCTCCGGTATGAATGTTCCCAAGAAGTTTCATTATTTATCAAATTCATTCCTTTATTTTGAGATGTACTGCCTTGGGCAAAATAAGAGACCAACACCCCTCCACCCCCCACCCCATTTAAATAAAATTAATATCTTTCATCGGATTGTCATCCCTTCCATACCCAAACTAACATATTTTGCACTTCATATGGATTTTTCTTATTTGGATGAGTTACGAGTGGATTTGTTAATGCTATTGCTATGGAGTTTCTTTTCACTGATCGACTTAACTGGCATTTTCTTATTAGAAGTATTTTAAAAGGTTTAGTTTTTATTAAGTTATAAATTTAATAAAAGTATATTTTTGGAATTAAAAAAAGTTCTAAAAAAAGTTAAATTTTAAAAATACAAGCTAAAATTTGTGTGTGTTTTATTAACAACTTAAAGAGCAATTAATTATATTTATTAATTTTACTTTTAAGAAGGGGGAAATACATTATCTGTTATTAAACTTATTAAATCAAAGAAACTTAAGAGTTTTGGCTAAAGTAGGTCATTTGCATGTTTATTTAGAACAAATAAATTTTAATTTTATTTTGCAATATTAACAACGCACTAAAAAACGCACTAAAAACAACTGATGTTTGGGTTTCCCCAATTAATGTGATTAAGATGTAATTTTTAGATCATAAGTTTTTTATTAATTTTTTTTGCATAACTTTTAAATTCGGATAAAATGCTTAAAATAGTTCCTTTGTTGTTACTTTAAATGTATTTGTAGTTTATAATAATATTACTTTAACTTTTACTAAAACAAAAGCGTATTTATGTTATTTTTTTGCGCATTTAAATTTATTCGATTTCCGTAAAATAATAGAAAATAACTATGATGTTTTTAAGAATCAGAACATATTTAAGTCTTTTTGGTTTTTTGGGTTACAGTGAGCACAGCTCATTCTTATATATATGAGGCACCAAAGTTACATCTTATATATCAGATATAAGGGGTATATAAAAAAAAAATAAAAAAGATTAATGCTTCAAATCTGAACTAAGCAAATTATTTAGTTATTTAGCTACGTTGTGCTAGATAAATTTCAATTTACACCAGATTCTTATCCAATCCATAGATCATGCTTCATTTAAATGAGTACAAAAAGGGGCAGAATGTAATTAAGAAAAATATTTTTGACCAGACAAATAGAATATAATTTGGGAAATGTATTTAATATCATTTATTTTAGACATGAAAGTTAGTTTGTTTATATTTGTTTTCTTACAGGTTTACCTCAAGAAAATCCGCTCATTTGCCTTAAAGTTTGCTGATAAAACTACAGATGCCTCGGTGAGTTCAGTTGCTCTCTCATATATTTCTTACTGGCATCTTCAAATATGCTCCAGGTCCTTAAGAAGTGCACCACTGTAAAGACCAAAACCTAGTGGTTCTTGGTTTTTACAGGCCACTTTGCACATAGAGTAGACCAAATGACGTGACTGCACAATTAGTCTGTAGGTTGGCCTTCAGTTTTGAGCCCCACAATGACTGTTGCAAAGCTCAGGCTTGGGGATGGGATTCTTGATGATTCGTTCTACAGTGAAGACTCTGTAACCCTTGAGCAGTTCTATTTGATGCTATGAAAATTTGTTAGTACCAGTCTTATTCTATAAAGTCTATAACTAAAGTCCATGGTAAACTGAACATTTAACTTCTCAAGGCCCTTCGTTTGAGCTATCCTTAGTAGTCAGGCTTGGTAGTGAAATTATGCCAAGTTTTTGGGTACCGGTATCAGAAATGGTAATAATCCTTTGAAGGTGCGAGAAACTTGACCATGTTGTGTTTCCAAATATTTTAAATGTAGAGCAATTTATTTCAGTGGCTACTATTTTGATAAATCAGCTGTAATGTCACGTGAAAAAGAGTAATGCTTTGATCGGCTATCACATCCAACAACTGATCAGATTTTTTGTAAAAATTAAAAAAAACACAAACAAAATAGTGCAACCCAGACAAAACTTTGAAGAAAATTTGATTGTGTGAACTAACTAAATTGTGAGCCATAAGACACTGAAAGGTCAAAGGTTATGAGTTATTCCTCTCAATTCTGCTATATTAGTCAGCCATAAGATATGAAAAGGTCATGTGTAATTTCCCTAAATTCTGATATAATTGTCAGCCTTGAGACTTTAAAGGGTGAAAGGTCATGTGTTAGTTATCTAATGCAAAGCCATACTTGGAATAGTTAAAATAATCTCTACTCCAGGATCTTAATATTTACAAATATTTACAGGAGCAACCAAAATTGTCGCCACTTCCTGCCATAAGATGCTTGACGTCTTCCCCACGTCGGGTATCCAACAGCTACTCTGTATTTATATCCCCTCATAGAAGCAACTGTGCTCCCCTGGCACGAGGAATGTCGTATTCTATTAACCTCAGTCCATCAAAGGTAAGGAGGGATTTCAGAAGTCTGATAAAAATTTAATAAGAGATGATAAAAGTTAGGCGGGGCCCTGCCTTTCTATTATAAAGTCAGGCTGGGGCCTAGCTTTTTATAGATTATCTTAAATGTAAATTAGAAAGCTCCCAACCAAAGCATTTCTCTGTAAAAAGATGATTTCACACAGACATTAAACAGCACTTCGAAACAAGAAGAAAGTGCCTTAAACCTGGAAGATGCCGCCATAATATCTCTATTAGAGACCAATATCCCTGACATCCTGCATTGTGAAACTTGCTGAGAGAATGATCCGTTGGTGACTAGAAACAACAGGTACTCTCAATAACGTAACAGGGTCTAATAAAAGTACCACCTCCAGACAGGTACTCCCAAATAACGTAACAGGGTCTAATAAAAGTACCACCTCCAGATGCAATTCGTCCATTGAGGATCATCTGTTAGGTCATTGATGACAGTTAGGTCATTGATGATAATTTGTTAGGTCATTTCTGATCATCTGTTACTGTTAGGTCATTGATGAGCATCCAGAATGGGGTGCAGCTCAGTGAATATCCAGGGCACATTTTGATGAGATGGCATTATTTTGTTTGTTTTGGATAGTGCAGTCAAAGAAGGAAGAAGTTGAGCCGCTTGTACAGTTTGTCACGGAGTCCTGCTTTGTTAAGTTTCCTGGGAAGCGATTCGTGACCCGCCATCTCAGATCTGTGAGCGGTGGATAAAGACTACTGTTGTTAAACCCACTTATAATCCTTTAGCTGAAGTGAAAGAATTGATTGTAAGCATGTTCTCCAGATAGGAAGCTGAAGTGAAAGAACTGATCGTAAGCATGTTCTCCAGGTAGGAAGCAGGTATTAGCTTTATTTTGTACCCTTTTAAAGGAATTACCTCCATTTCCAGGATTTACAAGCCATTAACAAAATGATCAAGCAAGGTGTCTTCAAATCGTCTACAAAGCGCATGCTTGAAGTAGACAAGGATGATTCCGTTCACACTGCCGCCAAACGTCTGGCAACAGGGCAACATTTTGTCAAAAGATTGCAGGACCTTCGGAGTATGGAGAATCCCAACTGAGTAAACTTTAATAGCTTCCTTATTTTAATTGTTAATACAACACATAAACCATGTGATTGGCAGCTGACTGATCTGCCGGGAGAGAAACGTTCAGTGGTGAATGTGCCTCAATCTATTTGGTGTGTCTGTGATGGTATGAGAGAAGTGATAACAGCATCTTATGCATTGAAGCATATTTGGCTTGAAGCAGGTTAAATATTATTTGTGCCATGTTTCCATTGATTTTGCCAACTTTTTTATAAATCAAGTAAATTGAGGTGTCAAGGTTGATGACCTTCACATTTTTCTATTATTTCCCAGCGGCCGATGGACCCCCTCAAATCTGTTTATTATTTCCCTTCGGTTCATGGACCCCCTAAAATTGGTTTATTATTTCCCTTCAGTTCATGGACCCCCTCAAATCTTTCTATTATCTCCCAAGGGTTGACGGACTGTGGACTTATGAGCTAGGTGACAACTTGTGGACTTATGAGCTAGGTGACACCTTGTGGACTTATGAGCTAGGTGACACCTTGTGGACTTATGAGCTAGGTGACACCTTGTGTAGTGTCTCATCTCATTGAAATTCACTTGTGTAGATTGAATGTCCTGTGTTAACCCCAGTTCCTTTCTTTCATAGCAATATTCCACTAGACTTGTGTGTATTTTGATAATTTAGAATTGAATGGCCATGCATAACTGAACTGCCTGTGCTGTTTTAAAGTCTTTGTCAGCCATGTATGCTCTAGAGAATATCATTAAGAAAGTGGTTGTCTTGTAGTGCAAGCACAAAGATCGTTATCGCCTTAAATTTGCAAATTAGACATTAATCCATGACCAGACTTTGTGTGTTCAAAAACAATTGGATGGCTTATTTCTTTACTGGTGCTTCAGTTACACCAAGGCATGGCCAGGATTACAACATCAAAATGCTTTTGTTTTTTATTTCTTCTCAAAAACATTGATTAGTTATTGTAAGGCCCCTCATTTTTAAAAATCAAAAGTTCTGTTGTTTTTTTGTTTTTGGTACCATTTCAAATACTGTTGATCTAAGTAAAACACTGTTTTAAACATTGAATACTGATGATGTTTTAAACACTGTATTTTCAACACTTTCGCATTGTTTTTTTCTCTCTAGCCATATATGTTTGTATGTATATATATAATGCCTGCAAAAGAAATTCTTGAGATACAGTTGGTTATAGAAAGAAATTACTGAGTATAATCCGCAAATCATGTTTCAATTGTTATTTTGATTGAATTGTCTCCTTGAAGCCTTGAGTACATTTAAAATATAACATGCAACAACTTACAGTCTTTCAGCATAGAATGCAACAGAATGAGAGAGAGAGATAGGTGGAGTCAACTGTTGGCATTTGTTATGACGGAATATGCAAGATGGAATCATCTTGTCATTCACTGATTGTACCTCAGCACCATTCACAGCCTTTTGTTGACCATCGTTCTAACAAAATGTTATCTCCAATGTACAGTGCTTCATTGATAGCCAGGCTAATAGAGATATTGTTTAAATAACTTGTCTTGCTGATGAGACGAACTTTACTCATTGTTACATGATTGTAATTCATGTGGTAGAACTTGTGGGGCAGAAATTGTGGCATCCTCCAAATGTCTTGCAGACTGACCAAGAATAAAAGTCTCCAAGTATCCCCAAATGTCGTAGAGAGAAACGTAGAATAAATCTCCAGCCTAGAATCCTGCAGTGTCATGCAGACGAACCAAGAATAAAGTATTGACTCTGTGGATGGTGTTAAATAAAATAGTTGACCCACTTTACAATGCCTGCTCTAAAACAACACATTTTTTGTGTTCATTTACTCCACCCCTTCCTTATGAGAAGTGATGAAATTTATGTCAATCAATAATTATTTTTGCTCAGTGGAGGTAGAGGTATCTTTACTTTTTGCTGTAAGTGAATCTTTGGGTGACAGACCAACCTAGGATTATATCACTGAAGTCTGATCAGTCCCCCAAACTCCAGCAGCGTTAGATTTAGGAAGAGGGGCATACAAGTATAGAAAGTAGCCTTTATTTCATCATGCCCAAATCAAGTAAAAAATAAATCGGTTTTGATTTCTGCATAAAAGTATGTCAATAACTTATTTTATTACCTTGTACCGGTATCACAAAAAAAATTAAAATGTGTCACTTTTGGAACCTCTGGAGGATTCAAAACCAGTGGTTCACTCCACCCAGATGGCCAGCGCTCTATTATATAGTAAAAGGTTATTGGTACCCATAATAATTTGTCTGTTGGGTAATGTCGTCTGCTTTTTAGCAACTTGAAGTAAGATGTTGCTAGTAAATTATTTTACTTTTTGTTAATTCACTTATTCTGTAGGGTTATTGTAGTGTTCGTACACCCAGTCATACACTTATTCTGTAGGGTTATTGTAGTCTTCATACACCCAGTCATACACTTATTCTGTAGGGTTATTGAAGTCTTCATACACCCAGTCATACACTTATTCTGTAGGGTGATTGTAGTGTTCATACACTCAGTCATACACTTATTCTGTAGGTTTATTGTAGTGTTCGTACACCCAGTCATACACTTATTCTGTAGGGTTACTGTAGTCTTTGTACATCCAGTCATACACTTATTCTGCAGGGTTATTGTAGTCTCTGTACACCCAGTCATACACTTATTCTGTAGGGTTATTGTAGTGTTCGTACACCCAGTCATACACTTATTCTGTAGGGTTATTGAAGTCTTCATACAGCCAGTCATACACTTATTCTGTAGGGTGATTGAAGTCTTCATACACCCAGTCATACACTTATTCTGTAGGGTTATTGTAGTATTCGTACACCCAGTCATATGCTTATTCTTTAGGGTTATTGTAGTCTTTGTACACCCAGTCATACACTTTGGATGTAGCATAGTAATTCCAAATTTCTATGGATGTATAATACCCAATCATTGATCTTTGTGTGTCTGATATCCAATCATGGTCTTTGGGTGTCTCAGATCCATTCATGGTCTTTGAGTGTTGGATATTCAATCATGGTCTTTGGTTGTCTCATATCAAATCATGCACTTACTGATGCAAGCTTGAGTTTTGACACACACACAAAAAGAAGGAATGGATAAGGTTGGCATGGCAGATATTTTTGTACAAATTATATTTCATTGTAACTTTCACCTGAATTCTTTATGTACCTTTCATCTGAAATCTTAATTGTACAACTTGAGGAATAGTTGAAACAGTTTTGTCAATGTGTACTTGTCTACTTTGCTTCTACTTGAAGATGAGAAGCTGGGCATTGGATTATTGTTGTTGTTGTTGTTGCCTAACTATAGCATTTATAAATAAAATAATGTCATTATATATTGTATATTTATTTACAAATGTATAGTGTTGCCACATGCTATATTAATTGATCAGTGGTGATATCTATTTCTGTTCTGGCATTGTAATTACCTTCAATAAAGGTATTTGAGCCTTAACTAATGCTATGAGTTATGAGGTATTCTTGCGCGTGCATAAGATGTGTGAGGCGGGATTACGATGTATTTGAAACATTTTCTGATTTATATTTTATTTAAGGCTGTAAATACTTCCCATTTCAATTTTTTTTTTTGTGTAGGATCAGGAATGTAATTAAAAAAACAAAAAAATGCTGTATCACAAGAAATTTTATATTGATATATATATGTGTGTGTTATATTGCTATCTGTGAACAGGGCTTTAAAGTCATGTCAGTCTGGACGTTTACACTTGACTTAACTTTACACTTCAGGGGCCATCCTTATACTGTACACGGCACACTGAGATTGGACCTTGTCTTGGATTACGAGACATGGGTATGAGGTTCAGGGAAAGATTTTGCCCAAATGCATACATCACAGAAACTTTTCTAAAAGCTGTCATAATAGTTTTAAGTTAACTTAAAAGAATTGGGCAGGTTTATGCTATACATTGGATCTAACCATCAGAAAGGGTCAAGTTGTTTGCTTAATGAGATTGGTTCTTCAAGTGCTTTTAATAGTAACATGTCATGTCAACATACTTAGCTGGTGCACTGCTGTACCATGTCATGTCAACATACTTAGCTGGTGCACTGCTGTACCATGTCATGTCAACATACTTAGCTGGTGCACTGCTGTACCATGTCATGTCAACGTACTTAGCTGGTGCACTGCTGTACCATGTCATGTCAACATACTTAGCTGGTGCACTGCTGTACCATGTCATGTCAACGTACTTAGCTGGTGCACTGCTGTACCATGTCATGTCAACATACTTGGCTGGTGCACTACACTTTTTATCAAGTCTCACATCATTTTATGTATAGATTATTTCTCACTTTTTTAATTATTAGTGTACATAAAAGTTTTTGTTAGATTTGAACTTCTGGGAGACATAGTTCAGAGAATTTATTAAGTTTTGGGGAAAGTTAGCTCAAATATTTCAGATATCATTTTTTGAAGAAAACATTTTTTTAAAATATATTTTATACAGTAATTAATATAATTTAATGTTTCTTTTTATAACCTTGTACATAAAGCAATGAACTGTTGCCTCATTATAATTATGTTTCCTGTGCACATAGCTATTGCCTCATTATGATCATGTTTCCTGTGCACATAGCTATTGCCTCATTATGATCATGTTTCCTGTGCACATAGCTATTGCCTCATTATGATCATGTTTCCTGTGCACATAGCTATTGCCTCATTATGATTATGTCTACTACAATAAACATATTTTAACTAATGCATTTTGAATTAGTTTTTTAACATAATTTTTATTATCTAACTGCTGTACCCAAAAAAACAGCCACAATTTTAGGGAAGAGACAGTCCAAAATAAGTTGGAACAAATCGTCACACAAATTCATTTGTCTTTTTAGATGTAAAATGGGGGGGGGGGGGGGGTGATAAGCTGTACAATGTTTCAAGTTCAATACCGAAATTTCTTTTGAAAATACACATCAGAAAAATACACAGAGTGAGTGTACTGGACACCAAATGTAGTGTGCAAGTGGATTTATCTTGAAACAAAGAGCTTGAAGAACATTGCAACACCCTGACATGTTTGCTGTATTTTGGTGAAGAGACTTGTATGACTTCTTGATGTTTTGGTGGTGAACTCTCGTATAAGTTCTAACCTGCTCTTATCTAGGGGGTTTTATGTTTGGATTCAAATCAACCACAAAGGAACTGATTCTCATTCAATCTCCACACATGTCATTCAAAAGAAGAAGGCTGCAACCTATTTCATTAAAATGAAACGAAATTATTTATTGACATTAAACGTACACTTCATTGAAATCACATTCTTACATGGGAATTGTTTAGCGTTTAGATCAACCTCTGCATATAATTAAGAATTGTACTATCTTAGCTACGCTCTAAAGACTATGGCTGTTGGTCTCCCGTAATAACATAACATTTGACATCATTATTACGTATTGTGGTGTGTCCCGATCTGGGTAGTGCAGGGTCGGGGAATCCCCTCAAGTACGAAGACTGACTACCTGTCGTAGGGTTCCAGATTGCTCGTAATGCCAGATTGCTCGTAGGGTGCCAGATTGTTCGTAGGGTGCCAGATTGCTCGTAGGGTGCCAGATTGCTCGTAGGGTGCCAGATTGCTCGTAGGGTGCCAGATTGCTCGTAGGGTGCCAGATTGCTCGTAGGGTGCCAGATTGCTCGTAGGGTGCCAGATTGCTCGTAGGGTGCCAGATTGCTCGTAGGGTGCCAGATTGCTCGTAGGGTGCCAGATTGCTCGTAGGGTGCCAGATTGCTCGTAGGGTGCCAGATTGCTGGTAGGGTGCCAGATTGCACAGGGACGATGCTAGCACGACTGTGACAGAAGTTATAAATTAAGGCATTGGAATGTCGAGGCGGGTGGCTAGTTGATGATAAATGTATATTTAGACACGGGGGGCAGCGTGAATTTTATCATACATAGTAAAGCTCGTAGCACAGATGTAGAAATAGTCCTGGGAAGGAATCTTTAGAGATGCCACGACTAATTCTGAGAC